TATTGAAATATAGGTACCATAATACTAAATGGAGCTGGGTTTTTTATAATGAAGGTAATAGTATGTCATAAATCGTTTGATCAGTTTATTTATAATTATGCTAAAAAACCATAAAACCACTGAGATTATTCAATAAAGTTCTGAGGCAAAATCAGTTGACAAATTCAGGGTAAAGATGGTTAGTTAAATAGTACTTCAAACATAACCTCATTTTTGAATGAGAAATTGTCAACATAAAAAACGTTTTAGATACCTAAATGGTCTTCTTCAAATGAAATACACTGACTTCATTTAAGAGATGAAATTAAGTGTATCTCCTACAATGTCAGTCAACTGAACTAGATCACGATGTGAAGTATTATTGATACGTTTCGTAAGATGGAGCTTAGATTCGATCGTTGTGAAATGCGGGAGCACCTTAAGATATGTAGCTTCCACTTCATAAGCTTGATAAAGGAATATAGCGGGGCAATTGGAAAGAAACACATGTGCAATTAAAGAGGGAACGAATTGAGCGAAGAAATTTCTTTTCAATTAATTTTTTCATCATGGCTCGACAATAATTGAAAAGAAATTTCTTCGCTCAATTCGTTCCTTCTTTATTTACCAAATGACAAAATGGGAATTTTCACTACATGTGCAATTATTTTATTTGGGATTCCATATTGAAAGAAGAGCAGGAAATGTATTCCTATTATGCTTGGTAAAAACTTTGCATCACAAGGAGTAGGCGTATTTTTATGATTTTGCTTTTCCATCATATCAATTTTACTGTATGATTGCGGAAACGTCCCATTATTATCAATCCGAGACAATTTAAGCTCGAAATATAGGTGCCTTATACAAACCAATCTTAATTAAAACGATATTTAACATGCCCTCTTGTATTTCAAGGGATACATAAAAGTCAGCCGATTGATTCAGACAGTATCAGAAGTATAAGATAATCCCATCAACTCCCAGTCCTTATTTGTGTTATCAAGTACTTTCCACGCTTTAGATTCAAATGTTATCTATCAAAAAATCAAGTGTGTAGAATGGAAATGCGTTTTACTTCAGCTTCTATTTTATCAAAGTTAACATCATTACTCTTCACTTCTCAATAAACTGATGAGTAAACCTCAAAAACGAACTAAGAAATTTTTATATTTGGGAAGCATTGTGAAAGAGGGGCGAGACTCTAATTTATGGACGAGCCAATCAGAGGGGCTTTTAGAGATTTCAAGGTTACGGCATCAACTTCAATGCTTAATGCTAACGTACGATCGGTTCACAGGGGATTTTGTACAAAACGTGATAATTGAACGGCTATAACAAATAAAACGGCGGGACTATAATCTGTGGACGAATCAATCAGGTATAAGGTAATACATCTCGAAGTTTAACGCGAAATCCTTCCATCCCTTTGCCTAAATATATTTCTGGCATTATGGCTGATGTCAGTTCGTGATGAAAACCCCATACATAATTCCTAACTGAGGCAAATTACGACAATTGTTGCGAACTGGATAATAAAAGCACCAGTAACACTGGCTGCAGCCAGGTACTACAATATATACGGATGTTTGGAGAGCGTACAAACTCCTACATAGGCGTAATTATGTGCATCGTGTCTTTATCCACAAGTAGCACTTTGTGCACTCAACAACCGGAGTGCACATAAACAATATTGAAGCTATGTGGTCGAGGCTGAAAGGATTTTTGAAACTTTATCATAGCTACAGAGGCCGACTATTCTGTAGCCGTATGGATGATTTCCTCTACTTCATGCATTACGATATTAGAACCTGTGAACCTCTTTCCAACCTTGACAAGTTTTTGAACCACGTATAAGAAATGCATCCACTTTATTTCCTTTGTTTTGTATACCATATTTTTACTCTGTACTGACAGTTTGCTGATTGGCTAATGTTTCTCAATGTCGCTTAAGGGTCGTCCGTAAATCAGTCTCGCCGAAAAAGGTATATATATCTACTTCGACTTCGTTATCAAAAGTTTTAAAATATTTAGAACGTCAATAAACACTTCTTTCTGTAAGAACTCAGGTTTCCATAAGATGTGGGTATATTTTGAAATCAAAATATTTTGTGAACCACCGTACACTCGGAAAACCATGATATATATTGAAAATTCTAGTCTGTATTTGACTTAATCACTTCCGTTGTTTTTCAAAGGAATTAATGCCTAACACTAACTCCCAAACGTTGGATAAATAATTTGATATAGGATTTAATGTAAAGCATGAACATTAATACTAATGAGGTTAGATTTTTCCTGTTTCTAAATATCATATTATTGTCATGCATCCTATGTTTTCATTTAGGACTGTATAAAATTATTCTACTCGATGTGTTTACTTTTGATTGCAAATTCATTGTTGTAAAATCTAGGCACAAGTTAATAGGGTATATTAATTCATGCTTACATCTCATCAAACTTCTTACACTATATATATATATATATATATATATATATATATATATATATATATCGTTCTAATATGGAACTCTTCAGACGTTTTGCAACCTTATTCCCACAAATAATCGAGCCTAGAAAATTTGTGTTTCGAATAGGCCACCCTAACTCTGAATGGTTGATCGCGTATGCAGTACTTCATATATTTAAATTCAATAAATGCACAATATCCGCAGCCTAAAAGTCCAAGTTTTGATTCGCGCTAAAATCGTGGTTGCACACTGTTGTATATTCCCATAATAAACCAAAATGTCTATCCAGAGATTCCTAGTTCTCTCTGGATTTTCGATTGAGCTCTGTGCGTGATGTGATTCACAAAATTTAAGTCTTTGCAAACGACTCAAAAGTTAGATTGATAACTTGTTCTGTTTTAATAATTTTTAGCCAAGATTCTGATTTATCCGTATTTTTTAAAATGTTGAAGTGGGCAGTTAACTAGTTTGTGCAAGAAAAAGAACTTTGTAGCGAAACCTTCATCACTGTTCTTACTACCTATTAACTTCGTGTAAAACTACATATCCAGCGAGGAAAATTGCACTCTCTATTACACAAACAAGCAATCAGTTGAATGCTTTTTAGACGCTTTACTGTAGAATAAAAAAATGAAAGGTTCTAACAAACTTTATAGTTTAGTGAGTCAAAAATTACGCCCATCATCCCTCATGGAGGAGGATAAGTCGCTCACCAGCACTCTCCATACAAACTTATCCTGGAAATCCTTTCCAATTATTTCCAGTTTTTATTCCCGACTTATTGTATTTTTTGGCCTTCCACTTATTCGTTTACCTTCAGAATTCCAGGTTAAGGCCTGCCTCGTGATGCATTGTGATGATTTCCATAATTTATTTCCTATCCCATCTTTTCCTAATTTCCTCCTCAGATGGATGCTGTTTTGTTCTATTTCACAATAGGTTGTTACTGATGTTATCGGGTCAACAGACATTGAATATCTTACGCAGACAATTGTTTATAAATACTTGTAGTTGTTTGATGATAGTTGTAGTAGTTCTCGAAGTTTCAGTTCCGTATAGTAGAACTGTCTTGTTGTCACCTATTTTGGCTATAGGAACCCTAGAATTTGTGTAGCTTATATATATATATATAGCCTACCGTGTTGAAATGTTTATCCATTATTTCACCTGCAACTTACCTACAATTCAACATCTAGTTTAATCATGACTAAATAAGAAAGATTAGTTCAGCAAAGAGTTATCTTTTCGGCGAATTCATTTTTAAAGCTGTACAATCGCAAATATATAATAATACTGATGATAAAATTTCTGTTAGACATGATGACAGTTAAGTTAAATAAACAAAAATATTAAAAAGGTTTTTTAAAACAATTTACCTGCTCATCTGGAGCTAGGTATATAGGTCGTTTGATGCGTACTTTATCCAAAAGACTTCAAGTACATTATACGGCGTGGCTCAAAAGAAGAGGCAATGGCTCAATGAGCATTTCAATAATCGAACACCTTGTGAACACAGATCACTCAGTCAAGACAGACTCTGCATTCAAAGTCATCTACAAGGTAAGTAGAAGTCTTCCAAAGACAATAAAACTGCATCTTCTTTCCATTGCTCAAGCATTAGCCATACATCTGGATAAACCAGATTGATACAACTTCTTCTTCTACTATGGTCTTAATGTCTTATAAATTTTTTTTCTCTTTCTTCATACTCTTCTTCCTTTACAGCCATCTGCTTCACCTTCCATTTCGGTTTCTACGATACTCCTGATTACATTCAATCTCAATTTCAACATTTTATCTTATCATGCTGAGCCGTTCTTTCCCAATGATAATTTACCTATTTATCATTTGATGAATACATAAACCAATAACAATCACAAATGAATATTAAGTTTTCCTTGTTTAAAAATTGTTCTAATACCTTTGTTTATTAAACCTTACTGTCATCATATCTAAGAGAAATTTAATTATCAGTATTATTATCATCCTGTAAAAATAAGTATTTTTAATTGTGATTGTACAACTTTGAAAATGAATTCTTCGAAAACAGAACTCTTCACTGAACTAATCTTACTTATTCAATGTCATAATGGATCTATTCCGTTCACTAATCATGAATTAATCAAAACCATCTTATTTAATTGACTTTAAAGAAGAAATAAGAATAAGAATGTGAATAGATACTCATTGTAACAAACATTAAATGACATATTGATATTCATTTACATTTTTTTTAAAATATTTATTTGTATATAATCAGCTTTATTCACAATAATATCTAGACAACCAGTATTTATGAAGGAACTAACAATAATTGGAAATTATATGTATATCCTGCATTTTTATGAATGTAATATGGAAAATCATTTCTTCTAAAGAGTGATTCTATATGAAATAGTTTAAATATCATTTCAAATACATACTAAGATCTTTAAAATGTGTTAAATGAATGTGTAATAAGAAAGTGAATTATTCAATTTATATATATTTCATTATAATTAAGAATATTCTTTATAAACATTCAAATATTACAAACTTATTATTTTATTAATTTTAAACTGTATCACTATGTGTATCACCACTTTCATATGCCCAATTTGTGTCTTGATTATCTCGATTTATATGCGTTGATTGAGGCCATGGTTGTTCAGCAATAAAATTTACAGAATGTAATAAATTTGTTGATTTATCCATTTTTATTATATTTTGATTACAAATAATATTTTTTGGATTAATTATTGTATCACAATAATCATTTGGATTCATTTCAATTTCTTTAGTACTTGAAATTTTATTCATTGAATATTTTGTTTGTAATTTTTGATTATTTTTATTGAATAATTGTTGAAATGTTGACCCGGATATATTACCTATATTTTGCATTATATCTATTGGTACCGGGAAGAATATAGTTGATTTCTTTTCAGCTGATATTGCACATAATGTTTGTAAATATCTTAATTGGAATGCCATTGGTGAAGTAGATATAACTTTTGCAGCTTCTTTTAATGATCTAGCTGCTTCTTGTTCTCCTTTAGCAGCAATCACCTAAAAATGTGTTAAATAAATTAAAGTTATGAAAATTAAAATTAACTAAGCTTCAACTGACTCATGATCTTAACCATTGAAATTATTACAATCTCCACAAAAAACCCATCTGATATTAATCATCATATGTTCACTAGTGACTAGCTTCACGTGGTATATCCTGGAGTTCTAGTGAGAAGTAGTGACCAGTGGAGTTCAACCGGGTCTGTTGTGAGATAATAACTCACTGAAGACAATGGTGGATGTGTCGCTCGATTTTATGGATTAGTTGAAGTTAGACATTAACACCGTTGGATACCGGTTCAGTGGTCTAGTGGTTAAGTGCTTGCGCGCGAAACCAGTAGGTCCTGGGTTCAAATCTCGCAAGGGGAGAGGTCGTGGTTGCGCACTACTGAGGAGTCCCACAATAGGATGAAAATGCCTTCCAGTGCTTCCAGGTTTTCCATGGTGGTCTAGCTTTAAATGAGTCAGGATCTTAACCATTGAAATTAAGTAACTTATTATTTAAATAGGCAATTTCATCAATATTGATAAAAGACATCAATTCGATCTACATTTAATTCATTCTTGACTTGAATTCAGTCAACAATATGGAACTTGTCTTCAGTCATTTTCTATACAGTGATTAAGTATTCTCCGAAATGAAAATTGATCTCAAGAATCTTTTATAGTATTTCAGGATATATTACATCCTCCTCAACGTATATGTTTTAATTAGTCTAGATTGTGGAGGATGTCAGACTTTTAATTTACGTTACGATTTGATATTAACTAGTCAGTTATCTAAATCTTAAAAGCCAACTCTGAGAAAGTCAAGTCCTTACAATGAAGCCCATAGGTCCTGGATTAATGAACGAAAACAGTCGTAGAATCCTATACTAGAACAAAATAACTGGTTACCATTTCCTGATTTCCAGCGATTCTTTGAAAGTCCATATTGTAGACTTAAAAAGCTTTCACTTTCATTTGTAAGGGATTGAATTTTTTGTATTTGATATGAAGGAGTGATTAGTCACTTTTTCCAATGCATCTCATGTGACAAAGTTTTGAAACATGCCAAAGTACGAAATCCTTAAACTAAACAAAATCAGTGTAACGATACAAATTTTTATCTGTCTGTGGATTTCAAAGCTTGAGACAGATAAATATATATGAATATGCTTGTGGTAATACGTTACATATTTACAGTATTGTAATTACTTAGGTACATTAGTGAAAGGAAGCAATTCACTTTTATTTTAAATACAGTATAATTTAAAACTGAACTGTCGATTGAGTGAATTTATGAAGTTTCAATCCAATTATCTCACAAAAAATTGTTAACTACACATTTGATAGCAGATAATACTTTGATGAGAACCATGAATCATTAAGCGGTTTATTAGATTTTAAGGTGACAATTCTAACCTAGGAAAAGACAAATCGAGTAAAGAAATATCAGTTTCTTTTTAATTTCTCGTCACTGATCCACATTAATACGTATATTTTACAACAATAATAGTATAATCAAGACCTATTTTCGTGATTAATATGGAACTTAGCATTATATTTTCACAGAACCATGACAAGAAACTGACAGTGTTATTATAATTTATAGACGAATTATTCGGAATAAAGATAATAAGAATTATATTTTAAGCAAAGTACGTTCATTCATATGGTTGAAATGCATTCTTGGACCGCAACTGTTGTCTGGTTCCACTAAAAAGCCTTACTTTAATTTCTTATCTTAACCGCCAGCTCAAGCTTCTATTACTATTTCCTAACCCTTCTTTGAACATAATAAGTAGCTTAAATTTCGTAATCGCTTTTAGAATCCATTAGGTTGGTCGATAAGTATAGCGTCATCAGTTTGTGCTCTTATTCAGTGTGCCATATATGATTTTTTTATCCACTGAACTCTAATGATAAACGTGAAATTAAAGGAGTAATATGAATATCGGGTGAAAATCAGTTTTTTACCGAGTACTTTTTTAATATCTTGCTCGTTAGAAATAGGGAATTTAAAAAAGTAAGGTTTACATTCAAAACATACTAATAAAATTATAAAATCCAATCCAATTCCTCGTATCTATTTCAGCTCAAATAAACTAAAACAATGCACCAGATAGCATATAAGTCAACACATCTTACTTTATGATATATTTTTTTTTAATTCTAAAGATAATAAAACCTTATTTATCTCCCACACAATCTATACACATACCAATTTTCAGTTCCACTATTTTATATTACTAATGCATACATTTCTCATACCAACCTTCTGACGCATAAATTAATACAGTGACAGGTCATACAAATTCATCTCAGCCAAGAACAATCTGACTTCGACATATTCAAACCTATTAAACTTTTCTATTCTATAAATAATTATCATCATTTACTCAAAGCTTAGCTATAAATAAAGATCTTCTTAACAGAATAGTACATTAGTCTGATCGTGTATAATACAAGTACGTACATATAGCTACGTAACGCTGTCCTCATATAAATTATAGTTATTTCTAATGTTAAGTGAAAATAAAATTGCCATATGTAGGATAGGAAACTTTTGAAAACAGATAAACAATAGAGTATCAATTCGATAAATTTGTACAAAAGTAAGCTCAGAATTGAATAGAGTGGTGTGATTCATCAGTTTGCTTGTAATGATATTCGCTTACTTCATGCCATTCAGAAAAAATGCTAGTGGATTAGTTCGCATGTGTTACGTCATTCCCATATACATATATATAAAGACTAGAATAATCATAACTTCTTTTCCCTAAAAATATTTGACAAACGATTGAATTAAATTAACACAATTGAAGATATAATGCAAAGATTCCTAGTAGTAATCTTAACAATATGTTTGTTGAATATGCGTTTATTTCTTTCTACAATCAAAGTTAAAGCAACAAATTATATAATAAATATTAAATAAAAACAATGAACAGTGATAAATGTAGTCAGTTGTTTGACTCAGTCTATTCACCATATTGAAAGTTAAACAAAAAATTTGATTTTTAATTAAATTAGAAATGACCTAGAAACTATTTTTTTTTCAGAATCAATATTTGAAATGTGTTAACTTTAAACAAACTGATTTCTAAAGTAAATTTGAATGCACAACTCAAAAATTAATTTAAACTGAAAAATATCTCAAGTTATTTAAGGTCAGTAAACAAGCGTAAGAATTTTTCCACAGAAGCTAGGAGTCGTATTCTCAGTTTCTTATCTGATTTTAAATTCAATAGTCGTATATTTGGCGAGACTCCAATTTATGGACGAGCCAATCAGAGAAGCTTTTAGAGCACTTTGTGTACTCAACAACCGGAGTGCACATAAACAATATTGAAGCTATGTGGTCGAGGCTGAAAGAGTTTTTGAGACTTTATCATAGCTACAGAGGCCGACTATTCTGTAGCCGTATGGATGATTTCCTCTACTGCATACATTACGATATTAGAACCTGTGAACCTCTTTCCAACCTTGACAAACTTTTGAACCACGTATAAGAAATGTAACCACTTTATTTCCTTGGTTTTGTATACCATATTTTTACTCTGTACTGACAGTTTGCTGATTGGCTAATGTTTCTCAATGTCGCTTAAGAGTCTTGCTTTTTACTCGGGATTTGGAAACTAGTCAGCAAGTCAGCGTCACTAATAGTCAGCGGATCAAAGTTAAGGCATACTTAGCATATCAGAATATTAAAGTAATCTCTGATTCTGTCCAAATTCTGTTTACTAATATAAAATGTCTTGTAAATATTTTAAAATGAATGTATTTCGTTGTAATTCTTAGTACCCAAAATACGTCAATGATCCTACACTCGTATCATCACGTCACAACAAATCATGTTTCTCAACAAAATCAAGTAATGTGAAGTAAGTAATAGCTTACCTTAGCACGAGCTTCACGAGCAGCTTCAGCTTCTGCTGCCATTGCACGTTGAAGTTGGATAGGAAGGCGGACATCTTTGATTTCAATTCTTTCAACCTATAAATTATTTAAAAGACAGAAGAGAACATAATGAATTAGCTTATTAGAATAAAATTAACACTTTCGTACCCAAAGAACAGCATATGTATGTGAAACTAAACCAAATGAGTCATGGCTCGACTTATAGACATGTACACTTAAATTTCCACTGTTTACCGAGAAGAAAATTCTGTATAAAATTATGATTTAATTTGAAGAGATTCTAGTCGTCCTGATAGTTCCAAATCAAATTATTTACATGTAGTTAGTTTGCATTTCTGATATCGTTCAATGTTCAAGATAAAGTCGATTTAAACCATATGACACAAAAATTGTAATAAGTTTCTTTACGATTTAAAAGAAACTCATAAATAGAAATCATGACGAACTGGTAGATACAGTCAGTCACATCATGATAATCAGATTATTGTTACGACGACTTTGTAACGACTTAGCATAATAAACTGATTGCCACTAGATATTTTTATTTCGTAGCATGTGTACTAAAATATGAATTTCAGTGAAACGTTGGTCACTGAACTAATTTTAAGAATCTTTCTACTATTTTTCTGTTTTTTGCTATATGATTGAGTTTTTTTTATAAATATAGTTATGTGACTGAATGGATCAAAAATATAATTAAAAGTTTTTTCACTAGTTTCAAACGTAATACACAACTAAACTAAATATGTTTCAAATAAGTGCATAAATATATAAACATAATGGAACCTGGGTACGTTGCAAACAAAGGGGATGAAGATCTTTTTAGAATGCTTCCTAGAGTTCTTTCTCTTGATACATTCCATCCGTCTATATCAACAGGTAATCATGGGGTTAGACAAAAATTTAGCATTTCAAATTAATCCAACGTCACTTTTACTCACATGAATGGGAGGATATTTATATCTAGTACATAATACAATACTCTAATCCAAGATCAAAATCTTCGGATGCTATAAGACTCAGATATATATAATGAATAGCATAGTTTTACAACATGATAAATTTTCATTATCAACCATCTGGTAAAAATTTCTGAACAAAGCATTTCATAGATTTAAGAAACATGACATTAAAATTGATTTCAATTCAGTATTCTTTGTAATGTAACACGATATTTTTCATATGATCATCTAGCTAATAGAGACAAATTAATTATATATTAGTTTCATGACCAGAATTAAGGATTATGCATTTTGCATTTCATTCATTAACAATTCTTTGACAGTATAAGCTACTTATTTCGAAAATAATTAAAGTTTATAAAGCGAGATCTACTTTACTTATTAACAATAATAAAAGTGTAAAGAAAGCTGTGATCAAGATTTTGAAACTGTCTATTATTGTGCTCATCGTTCCATCTTACTAGTAATAATATATAACAGAAAAATAAAAGATTAGAGTCAAACAAGTTGATTGTTTCTTTTTTGAAATTATAACTAAAGAGTACATCCAACTGATAGGTCTCAAGTAGGACAAAACGCGCGTCCTGGATTCCACTGCTAACCATTATCCACCTTTGTATATAAAGTGTTCATTGTTTCAAATAGAAATGCACTATTCAAAAACGAGTTATATAACTCAGTAAATTACGTATACAATTTGATAAAAATTGAATGATTAGAATATTTTATTTAAATAGAAACCTTCTTGTTTCCAATGTCTAGATAATACTCTTTAAAATAATGTCAATTAATTTAATCAATCCTAATTTTGTGGGCGAAATTACATCAAAATCACATTGTGTCAGCTAAACTACCTTTAAACATGAAAACAAACAAACAATTCTATTTCATTATATAAATTAATGTAGTTCTCTATTCATTCTATTTCATTCTCTGTATTGATTATCTTTATTCAATACTTTCTCTATCTAAAAAGAATAATCAATAACTGTCCATAATTTTATATAAGCAAATTAAAATGTCATTATGTCTACTGTGATTAAAGTATTACTTATTCGATAGAGAATATAAATTAAGGTCATATGGCTTGATGATGGTGACCTATTGAAAGTAAGTTTTTTTCTAAGTATAAATTTGATAAATTCTAAAAAACAATTTATTTCTACATAAGTAATTGCGGAAACTAAATTTTGATTTTGATTCACATATTATTCTTATTGTTCCGTTGTACAATTTAAACTTGGATTGCTTTTATTTTGGTTATCTATTCTCTGAAGAAGTAGCTTACACTAAGTCACGAAACGTCAGAAAATCTCATTTTTCTACTCATTAAGATATTAGAAATATACTATTTATTTATTGCGGAAACTGAATCTTACTTAATAGATGAGATATATAATTAATATAATATTATCATAAATGTATAACTAACATTTAGTTCAATGAAATGTTCTAAGTTATTAATGAATTAGTAAAATAATCTTTAAAGATAACAAATAAATAGGGGATTAATATCCAACATGATAAAAATTTCAAAATTCCGACAATTTATAAATATCTCAATCCCTTATACAAATATTCCTCATGTTTAGAACGAATAGTTTGACATTTTTATATGATGATTTTGATGTTGTTTATTATCCTGAAGAAGTTCAGACAAGTTAACTGGACGAAACATTGGAATTATTTTAAATTTCATCAGCTGAAATCATTTCAAATATAATTCTCACATAAAAATGTCTAAATCACTGTTGATAATCTACATTACATTTAAGATTAAACAATAATTCAATAATAAATAACAAATTTCGTCTAAATTTGATCGAATAATTTCACAGTATTTGGGCTCCGAGTTGATGCGCAACATTAAAAAAGAAGAATGCATTTGTAAAATCTCATCAGAAGAATTTGAACTAAATCCAAAGAAATCTATTTCCTTGAAAAAAGCTTGTACCAGATAGTCAGGCAAAACGTTGAATTTACTTCAACTTCTTTCGCTGAGATTATACAAATACATTCTTCCTTTTTAATAATTCATTAAGATTGATTCAATTAGTTCTTCTTGTTTATTATAATTATTAAATTCAAAGAATAAAATAATGATGAAATAATCAATACAATTGATCATTTAGTTAAAATAAATTAATTTATCATATAATAGGTCCTGGGTTCGAATCTCGCGGGGTGCAATATCGTGGGTACGCGCTGTTGAGGAGTCCCATACTGGGATGAAACGGCCGTTCAGTGCTTCCAGGTTTTCCATGATGGTCTAGCTTCAATTTACTCATGATATCGATCTGTGAAATTTCTAAAATCTACACAAAACCCATTCTGATAATAATCATTTGCTCACTAGTGACTGAATTTAGGAGATACTCCCGGAGTTCTAGTGAGAAGTCGTTACCAGTGGAGTTCAACTAGGTCTGTTGTAATCTATATTTATCTATTAAACCTTTGATAAATAATTAGATAATTATTTACATCATAATAAACTACTTTATAGATCTATAAAAATAAATCCCTTCATTTATTCACTATAATTAAGATGAAATTAGTCTAGTTCATATTCATGTAACTCTAACACGGAAACATTTATTTATTTTGCTGTTGTTGTTTTGTTGTTTTGTTTATAGTTAAGTCCATCATGATATTCTTTATAGGCTTCAATTATTATATTTATCACTAATGAAATAATATTGTATACATTATTAACACCTTTATTGGTAACTTATTACGATAATTGACAAGGTAATTAACTAATTAATAATAATTTGATTTTAAGAAAATATAAACAATTTTAAATCAAATTAAAGTAAAAACATTTTGGCTTTTAGTTTAAATTTGAATTTATTAAAAAAGACAATAAAACTGTGAACGTTGCCATGGTTACTAAAATAAATCATTCTTTCAATTTCGAATAGTGATTATTATAAAGATATTTTCTAGCTATTTATTTTGTTTGTTACATTGAATCATTGATTGGATAATGACTCAAGCTTACTTCACATTTAAAAGTACTAAATTGCTCTAATTTTCAGAACGTGGATTTTTATAGAGTTTATTTAGTTTGAGTTAAATGGTGTTAATCTTGAAGCGTTTAATGTCGTTCTAGACAATGTCATCAGATAGTAGTTATTAGAATTTCAATATAATTAACTAACAGCTTTTCCTGTTAAAATGGGATTCGGTAGATTGTTGTCTATGACTAATCTTCTGTCCACATATATCTTCGTAAAACTAATCAATACAAATTAACAATAAGTGTTGTTGCTACTATCAGTGTTTTCAAAATTCAAAGAAACTGACAACTCCACATTGGAAACTAATGAGATATGTAACAAAGCCATATACTGCATTAGTCATATGTGATGATTACCATAGCAGAATATGAGAAAATATCAAATATTCGTGATTTTCCCGTTGCTAAGCCACAGAGATAACAAATATTTGACAAGACTGGTTAACTATTTACTGGTAGTCTTAATCTTATTAACTTCATGGCTTCAGTTAGACAATAAATATAGAAATTTATATATTCATGATATGAATAAAATACTTTTATGCATTTGGTAGGAATTTAAATTTGTTGAATGAAATTGGTAAGTGTACTCATAATCTCTATAAAGTGTAGTTCAGAACTGATACATTTACAATATTTATTTTGCAATTTTCATCCAGTATACTTATACCCTTAGACTTCGCAGATGATCTGGCACTCCTATCGCACACGCAACAACAAATGCAGGAGAAAACGACCAGTGTAGCATCAGCCTCAGCAGCAGTAAGTCTCAATATACACAAAGGGAAAAGCAAGGTTCTCCGATACAACACAGCATGCACCGACCCAATCACAATTGATGGAGAAGATTTGGAAGATGTAAAAACCTTTACATATTTGATCAGCATCATTGATGAACCAGGTGGATCTAATGCAGATGTGAAAGCGCGGATCGGTAAAGGAAGAACAGCATATTTACAACTGAAGAACATCTGGAACTCAGAACAACTGTAAACCAACACCAAGGTCAGGATTTTCAATACAAATGTCAAGACAGTTCTACTGTATGGGGCAGGTATCTACCTCAGTACAATGGAAGTTGGTCGCGTAATTTC